CCCGGGGCCGTGGCAGCCGGCACACCCCCACCCCCGGACAGGAGTGAGGCAGGAGCATCGCTGATCCACCCGACTTCCTCTCTCTACTTCCCCTGCCCTCCTATCCCACCCCCTGGGGCCGGGTGTTCAGCTCCAGCGTTTGGCCTTCCCCTTAGAAGGCTCTGGTAGGGTTTCTCAGGGGAGGTCCTCAGCATGCAGCTGCTCCAGGGCCTGTGCCTTACCCTGCATCGCAGACTTAAGAGATGTGAACTCATGTGGACCAAAAGCTTGGAAAACATTCTGCAAAACCAGGCTGCAACAGGGGAAATCCACCAACTATAAGGAGGCTCGGCAGTCAGCGAAAGCAGATTTCACTGATACACAATGAATATTTCATCTCCATGAGACTGTCCACTACCAGGAGAGCGTAGTGACCATGTTAGGGTAGCGGAGGGACTTATGAGCGAGCAGACTTGCAGAAGGCAGAGGGAGGTGGTCTGGGTAGTGTTGGCAAATGGAGGCAGCATAGAAAGGGAGGGAGGGTTGCGAGCTCGCCTGTGTAGGAGAGTGCAGGGAAATCACGCTAATCAAGTGTGATCAAAGAGTGCAGGGAAAGATCGGGTGGTAAGAGTGGCTAAAGCTGAAAAGAAGGAGAAAGAGAGCAAAAAGTTAAATGATGCTGCGATCCTCCAATACATACCTAAAAAAGTTAATGTTATTTGATGTCGACTGTCGACCTAAAAGCAATGTCAACATAGACTTTTTTTAATTATTTAAATAACTTCTGAAAGCTGCACTTGAACTCTGAGCTAGGAGTCCAGAGACTATTTTAGCCCCGCCCCTGACACTAACTTGCTGTACTCTGGGACCCTCAGTTTCTTTATCTATAAAATGAGTATAGTCATAACTCCCATAAAGGGCTGTTATGAAGATTAAGTAAAAATAACATAAGTATTTTGCAGACTATAAATGTAAACTTAATGCAACCTGCTGTAAATGTTATTTAAAACTACTAAGTTCCGGGCTGGCCCAGTGGCATAGTGGTTAAGTTTGAGTGCTCCACTTCCACAGCCAGAGGTTCACAGGTTCGCATGTTCCAGGATCTCAGGCCCGGACCTACCCATGGCTCATCAAGCCATGCTGTGGTGGCGTCCCACATTTAAAGTAGAAGAAGATGGGCACAGATGTTAGCTCAGGGCCAGTCTTCCTCAACCAAAAAAACAATGACAACAACAACAAAAAAAACTACCAAGTTCATATAATAATCCTGGCGCTATTGCCATGACTTCAGAGAATTTGCCCCAGCCAAAACCTGGTGTGCCTCAGTGCCTCCATCCATAAAATCACATAACTTCGGATCCTAGGCCTCTCTGGCAGGTATCGCCTGAGGGTTAATGACATAGAAGAGTAAAATTAGTTTAAATCTTCAGGGGGAGGAGATGCTATGTAAATCTAAGGGGTAATGAACCCTTTTCTTTCCAAAGTATTCTTAATGATCTTTGAGATTTTTCAGAGCGTAAGATGATTATTAAATAGTATTCATTTGTTTATCTTCTGGTATTGATATTTTATAATTTCCTTTTGGATCTAGAAATGTATGCAAAGAAAGGTAAATCTATACCAAACAGGTTAATGACAGAATCAGGTTTTTTGGTTTTTTGTTTTTTAACAGTCCCAGCGTGGGCATCTATTATAATTCCTCTTTCTTTTATTACTCTAACAACCACTTTGTTAGGGAGTTAAGCTACCAGAAAACTATTGGAAAATCGTTTTGTCAGTATGTTTTATGCTTTATGAAAGCAGGGGAAAGGCTGGAGCCAAAAATCACTGAGAAATAATAGCCTGTTTATTAATAGCAGCTCCCGAATGGTTTCTTTTCTGTAGTTACAGATACTGTGGTGAGACCTCCACCTGTAGCAATTCTGTCATTGATCGTCATTAAAATATTGTTGAAAAAAATCATGACAGAACTACCGCTGATCCTAACAATTTGAGCGACTTTGAGTGCATCACTTCACCTCTTGAAACTTCTGAGTCCTCAGCTTTTAAACAAAGCGGTCTCGGCAATTCTAAACTGGGGAAATGCTGCCCCTGAGGGGTACTTGTAAACGTGTAGGAGCAATTTTTTTAGTGATCAGGACCCAGCGATGCTAAATGCCCTGCAGAGAGCATGAGGCCATCCTCCAAAATGAAGAATTGTCCCACCCCAAATGCCAGGAGCAGCCTCGATTATCTCTAATGTCCCTTCTGACAGTCAGTGATGCCAAGTGGCTGTCCATACGTTGATTCATTCGGCCACCCATTACTGAATCCCTGCCATATGCTGGGCACCAAGCTACCCAGCTGAAATGTCCCAGAAACCCTGGCTTGCATTGTATCCTTCTTTTCCCTTCTCTTCTTTCTAAAAGTCTTCCCTACCCACTGGACCACCTGACACTCACGAATAAAGATTTTTTGACTCATAAAGTGCTTGGAGGTTTCTGATGACACTGAGAAACAACAAGGCTCACTTCAGCCCTCCCCAGAGATTGGATGATGGCCTGGTTTACTTTAAACTCCTCCCTCAGGAATGGAGACCTTCAGCTCCAGTGACCGAGGGCTTCCAGCCAGCTAATGAAATCCCAATTGTGGATCATGTGGCTACATATTTCAACTGTTGATTCAATCATTTCTCATTTTTAAAACAAAACACCAACTGTTTTATGCCCAGTCAACAGTTTTCACTGGCAAACTGAAATTTCCTATTATACTTAATTGACATTTGAGGCCAGTTGTAAAACCTGCCTCAGAGCCTTTTACCACATCAAGTAGGATCATTAACTTGCTAATTAACTGTGCAGGGGGTGACCGTGTGCTGTAGTACAGTCCTCCCAGCCACCACCCCTGTACATAGCCCGTCCAGGAGTGCTGTGACCTCTGGGCTCAGCCATCACCGTGTTTCTCAACGTTCAGATGGCCCTTCATTACCTTATCAGCTCACAGCAACCCCGGGCACAGCTTACTATGCTGGTTGCTTGTTCCATTTTGCAAAGGAGAAGACTGATGCACAGAGAAGCATGAGGGTCTGCCCAGGTACAAAAAGCTCTCCGGATAGAGGGTATTCTGAGTGCTGGTTACAGTGCTAAAAAGCCACTCTGACGGTCCGGCATGCTTTGTGAATATATAAACACTTTTGAGCGTTTAATGAATCTTGGAGACTCCATTTTGATGTTAATAGTATTAAAAATCCTTATATGTATTTGTTAAATAACTATTATTGGATACTTCTCATGAGCCCAGCAGGGTTCTGGGTACTGGGAATATATTCCTGATCTCATGGACCTCCAGACAAGTGGAGAAGTCAGACATTGTGCCAATAATTCCATATTAATTCAGTATTATTGCAATTGACACTACAAAGGAGAAGTACAGGATGCAAGGAAAGTGTTGAACAGGACCTGACCTAGCCTGGGGACCCTAGAGGCTTTCTTTCAGAGGCAGTATATAAGTGCAGGCCTGAAGAAAAAGGAGGAGGCAGGAAGTTCAAGAATGAAGGTGGAGGATTCTAGAAGGAGGGAGATGCGTGAGTGAACACCCTGAGGCAGGCAAGAAGGGCTTGTTCCGAGTAGGAGAGGGTGCTAGCTCAATCTAGGTCGCAAAAGTGGGAGAGGGTGGCGTGAGTAGATTTGACAGATGTTCAGAAGATGGAATTGGCAGAACTTGGTGATCAAGAGGATGTAGACAGAAGAGTGAAGGAGTATTAGGGATCACTGCCCTGTATCTGGCTACTGGGTGGTAGGGCCCCTTGTTTAGGATTCTAGCAGAGGATCTGTACTGGACAATGGGACAAGATCACCAGCTTCTCATTTGGTATGTAGAGTTTGAAGTCCTGTGGGGCATCAGTTTGACTAGTGGAGACCCTGCCTCGCATGGGGTACCCGCATTGCATCTTACTGGGGTGTGGTGGAGACAACCAGTTCTATGGAGCCCAGAGTGTGTGTTTGGAAGCAGGGTTATATTATAGACTGGCATTGAGACCCTCATAATTTACAAAATGCTTTCATGTGTATTATCTCTAAGCTTCACAATGATCTTTGGGGAAAGTCAGTGGGAGTTATTATCTTCATTCTACTAACAGGAAATTGAGGCTTCCTGAGTTTGTGATTTGCCCAAGGTCACACTGCCGTGAGTGAGGATCTAGTACTCAAATTCAGATCTTCTGGCTCTTGGCACAGGGGTCTTCTCATTTACCACTTTATCTCGCTACCTGACTGGGGCAAACTCTCCACCAACTCTTGGAGCTTCCGTATCAGATGGAATCTCACTATTTGTACAAAATATATAAGAAATGAAACCAAAGGTATTTTTTTCTATACTCTGTTCATACTCCTGTCTGTCTCTCTCTCTCTTTTTTTTTTTTTTTTTTCTCTTTTTTACAAGAGTATTTTAAAACTATTTGTAAAGTTTTGGGACTAAAATTTGTATTTATATTTAAAGCAGTTTTTTTCTTTTAAGCGTGAAATTTCAAGGACAAATTACAGTAACTTTTACTGGTTGTGGGGAGACAGTTGTCTGGGAGAAATTAAGTTCAACTTTTGTCTAAATTCTAATAAATTATAAAACATTGTTAGACCTCTGCCCCGTCACCTCCCACTCTCAGATCTACTCCTAAAGTAGCAGGACCATCTAAAATGGCTCAATGTATTCTCCCCACATGTGAGGTGTTCCCGTGGGGTTGGCCCTGGGCGCTGAGGAAGACAGGAGGCTGAGCTGCCCTGACACAGTAGGAGCAAGAAAATCTCCACCACCAGCCTGTCTTATCCATTGGCCTTCTCCCCTTTTCCTCGGGGCTTGGGGATGCTTAAATAAGGTTAATTTGTGTTTGTTTCAGAGTCTGCTTTAATTGCATCAGTTCTGGGGCTACACAAAAACTTAGATTCAGGGGAAATACCCTTTCTACAGAGCTAAGTTATTTTTCTCCACTGCATGAAAGGCTTCCCTCTGAACCTCCCGGTATTGTTTACCTCCCTCCCTCCCAATAGCTCCTGGACTGTTTTGTGATCCCAGTCGTCATTTTGCTTTCCTGGTTCTTCCTGCTGATCCGGTACAAGGCTGTGCATTTCATCGGCATCGTTGTCTGCATCCTGGGAATGGGCTGCATGGCGGGAGCAGATGTGCTTGTGGGAAGGCATCAGGGAGCAGGTGAGTCTCCGGGTGTTCACCAGGTTACTTGCCTCTGTGGGTGAGGCCAAGGCAAGACGTGGAACATTCATGGTTGGGTGGAAACAAGGAAGCTGGTCTTCCCAGGGTCTATGTCTTACTCATGTTTTTTCCCCCACACCTAGGACAGTGGCACGTAGGAGGGGCTTAATACATGTTTCTTGAGTGAATGAAGGAAGCAAAATACAGGTTTTATGCCCTTTTTACATGAATTTGGAAACATTCAGACAGTGTTTAAAGCTGAGAATGAGGACCCACTTGCAGTATGTTTTGGAGGCCAGAGCTGCCTGGCCAGGACCAGCTGGTTAGAGATGGTGTCAATGGGTCAATCCATTCCTGAGTCACAGGGGCCTTCCCCACCCCCAGCCCCCCAACTCTTTCTCTCCCGAGTCAGGGAAAGACTGACCTTTCAAACTATTGGGTGACGGCTGGTACATAGGCCTAAGAGTGGGTATTTAAATTTGAAGACTAGATTAGGAATACTCGATATTTTTATGAGGGAGAGCTAAGTGCAGTCTCCTCATACAGGGATTTTTGTTTGCTTACCCGTTTTGTGGGGAGAAGTGTCAATCACAGCCAGTAGAACCACAAAGTAAAGCTTCAAGATTTACTCATCAAATTGCTATGAATCTGCTAGGAGGCCTGATCCGGGATGGTTTCCAGAGGACCCTGTTTCAAGCATTGCAATTCTTTAGAATGTGCCCAAATCCTTGTGCTACAGAAAGTTTTGGGGGGCAGAAAAAAATGAACCCCTTTGGGGTCGGCCTGGTGGCACAAGCATTTGAGTGCACGAGCTCCCCTGCAGCGGCCTGGGGTTCGCCAGTTCGGATCCTGGGCGCCCACCGACGCACCGCTTGTCAGGCCATGCTGTGGCGGCATCCCATATAAAGTGGATGAGGATGGGCATGGATGTTAGCCCAGGGCCAGTCTTCCTCAGCAAAAAGAGGAGGATTGGCAGATGTTAGCTCAGGGCCGATCTTCCTCACACACACACACAAAAAAATGACCCCCTTTGTTAACATCAGGAATGGAATCGAAAGTATCTATTTTTCTATAATTCTTGGAATTGATCTTTCTTCTAGGGAATTAGATGAGTCAAAATTGGGGCATTTCTCTTTATGAGGCTAGGTCATAGGAAGTACCTGAAATGAATGTCATTTATGTTTTTAAGTTGCATCATAGAACATTATAGCTGAAAGGGACTTTGTTCAGCAGTTTTGTATTTGGCACACAAGAATGCTGAGATTTGGGAAGCCAAGTGAGTTGTCCGAGGTCCCAGAGCTGAGAGAGCAGGCACTAGAACACATGGCTTCCGACCTCTGGGGCAGGCTTCCTTCCCTCTCCCATGTTGCTGGGAGCTGAAGATATAACACAAAGCAATAGAGAGACAGCCTCAGCCCTCACGAACCAGTGCCTACACAACATAATCAGTCCCCACCTCAACAGATGGACTAAAAATACATACACCTGCTTTTCCTAAATTCTCGTCTATGAAACACTAATTCCGTGGGATATCAATAGATGTCGTATGAAAGGGCCAGTTTTATGCTCTATATCCATGGTGATCCTGATATAGAAAATCTCTTTGGCCCGATCAGATGATATTTTTGCCTGATACAATGTGGCCAGTTGTTCTAAAGTCACAATTTAATTATACTTTCTTAGCTTTACTTGAACTGTATAAGCACAGACTAAGCAGAAGTGTGTACCCTTATTTATGAAAATTCTGCTTTGCTGAACCCTAGCCATTCACCCTGGCCATTATCTTGCATTCGTTAGTCAATGAAGACAATTGTCCTGATAAATCTGGATGTTTAAGCCTAGGATGTGAAGCTAACTTGAATTGATTTCACTAGATTGTATTCACTAATACTGTAAAAAATGTTTTATTTATTTCAAGTGAAGTGTTAGGAAGGGAATAGTACTATTTAATAAAAAGAAGTTAAGTCCATTTGACAGTCTTTCAAAAGTGGTCATTTTTTGAAACAACGCAGAGTAACTAAAACATATGGAGTGGTATTTTCTGTTCATGTGAATCTGTTTAAGACCCACAGCACCATCCCTTTTGTGACATATGAAGTACCAGTGTCAAGAGAATTAAATTTTGTCGTTGTTGAGTACCTTCCATGCTAAAGATAACAGTGCCCAAATACATGACATGATGTTTTAAGGGCAGCCCAGATTTAGGATCCAAGGATCATTTTACAAAATAGTGATTGGATATGCTTTACCTCTATAAAAACATTAAATTCAGCAGCAATTTAAGCTATCATATAAAATGTTTTGAAAAAAGATAAAAAACCACTCTGGTTTTGAGGACAAGATAATCCTAAAATTGGTGTGCATCATTATGAAAAATATTCCATTTGTTTTCACCTTTACAGTATAGTTGGTTCAATTGCATTAACTAACCAGGGACAGAACTTGTCTAAAATACTTCAGGCACTCACCAGACCTTTAACCAGTTATTCAACTCAATATAAATGGTCATCACCATATCAAGAGCTTTTCACAGGAGAAGAGAATGACTGACTTGATCTTTTTTGTGTTGCTTAATCCATGGCTCACCTTAGCTTGGGATTTTGAAAATTCTGTCCTCAAGCACATTGATATGGGCCTGTTCAAAGTTACTTGGACTTCATGATAATTACAGTAATTGCTCTAATTCTACTTGGTTAGAATGTTTCTTCACCAACTTTCCAGGAATTCCTCATTTTGATTTGAGCCTTGCTGAAGGAAACTTCTCAGGTGGCATCAGGCACTCCAGATACAAAATGTAAATATCAGGATGTGCTAGGAATGATGCTTTTGATGAAAACTTTACCAGGAAGTTCACCCACTGTAGACAGAGGTGGAGAGAAGGCGTCTGCCATCTGTGGCATTGGAGACTCTGCCTAGGAGCCTATGGAGTGGTGTACAAAGTAAGAAGGATGCCAACAACACTTACGTTCCAATTCTGTGTTAGTCACAGGTGCAACTGATCATCCACTATAGGACGCTTCCATACCTTGGGCTTACCTATAAGGAGATGTCTTTTCCAAGTTTGTCATAAAAAATCAATGGGCCTAATATGTATATTCTCTCTTTGCCACCTTACTCCAGCATTATAGGTCCTCTCTGAAAGACCATCTCTGCATTTACTGATACATGAGGGGAAAGACGTGTGGGGAGAAAGACACGCATGCAATAAAATTGGCTTCTGAAAATATGATCAATGTTGGAGTGTGTAAAATTAATTAGTGAGGCCAAAGAGATACATCTCCATGACATTTCTACTTTCCTCAGAAAACGTGTGGATATAAAAGGGAAGGTTAGAGAGTAATAGGAATAAGATAAAACTCAGTGAAAATAGTTCCTTATTATAAAATATATTTCTTGCTCTTCAAAATATCCTCTTTTTACTATAATACATTTATTGCATCTTATAGTTCCTTTATCAAAGATGCTAAATACCCATAACAACGTTTTTTATTATTAGACATAACTTTATGTTTGTTACAAGGAAGAGAAAATATTTTCAAGGAGCTAGATAGTTAAACACAATCAAGCAAAAGTGATAGTTTGATTGGTGCCAGGCCCTTTCCTGCACCTTATCTCATTTGATCCTCCTAATTATGCAAAGAAAGTATTTTTATTCTAATTTTTGTAGCTAACGACATCAAGGCTCAGGAAAGGTAAGAAACTTGTGGGAGGGCACACCAGTACTAAATGATGTGGCCCAGATGTGAAGTCTAGCCAGTATTCTTCTACACCACTTAATGCTTATTTTCCCATAATTGTGACTCGTAATACATGTATAGTGGTTCTGTTGTAGTAAATTAGGGTGAATGATTGTTCTAGATTTCCCAGAACGGAGGAGTTTCCCCAGATGTGGGACTTTTGGTGCTAAACCAAGAAAGTCCCAGGAAAACAAGGTGATTGGCCACATTTAAAACTCAAAAATATTCAATGGAATGGGTTCGTTCTCATAAATTGCATTAATAGTCTTTTAATACTCCAGAATAGTATAATTCACCATTTATTTCTTGATCCTGGTGGTAAGTAATGATTTTAAATAATCTTTCTTCTTCTCCTCCCACTGCCACACAGACACAAATATCATTCCAAACATGGTGTTTCTTGTATTTAAACAAAAATCTAATAAGGAAAACCAGTTCTTGCAAAGCAATTATGATTGGGTTGATCAGAACCAAGAAGCAATCCAAAGTGAGAAGTGGCCAACCCAAAGAGACAGGTGGTTATTCAAAGGGAATGATTGATTAAGTGAACACTTGATAAGGGCCAGATGATATACTAAGCATTTTACATTATTTTGCATTATTTTATTTTATTTACATTGTTTTACTGTATTCTCGCAATAACCTCATTTTAAATAAGGAAACTGAAGTGCAGAAAGACTCTGTAGCCTGGCCAGTATTCAACAGCTGGTAAGTGGCAGAGATGTGATTAGAAGCCATGTCTACCTGAATTGAAAGCTGTTGCCACTCAAAATCTTTACCATAGGATGGATTAAAACCTCTCAGTCAGCTCAATTCATTTAAGCATTTACTGAGAACTTATAACGTGCCAGGATCCATGCTAGGGACCACACAGAATATAAAGCTAAGTGAGTCTCAGTCCAGGCCCCTCAACCCTATTGTGTAAGAAAACAGCTGGGAGAAGGGAAGACACAAGTTAACAAATAACAGACATGGAGCAGAATGCAGTGGGTGCCATACACAGGTACTGTGGTGTGAAATTCAGAGGAGAGAGAGAAGGCACTGGGTTGAGCGGACTTCTCATAATTTCAAATGTGTCCATTTGCCCAAAATTTGCAAAACATCACTTGTCGTGATTTCATACATACATAAATGACAGATTTGCTGGGTATAATTTTCCCTGTGAACATTGCACCAGAAACTAGCTTCACCATGTCAGGTATCTACTGCATTAACAGTGCATAAAACATGGAGTGATACGTTGTAGTTTCCAGTTGACTAGATGCAAATTTTAGATACAAAATATTAGTCCTGGGACTTCCTATGCTTATATCGAACACTTCTTTATATACTACGGTTAGATAAAATCATGTCCTGGTTAATTATATTTAATCAACTAGATTTTTGTAGATGCAGTATGTATCTGTGTCCATTTTCAAATGGTTTAAAAGCTGATAAAAACACTTACTAGTGAAATTATAATAAATAATATTTCATCTCTTTGTCACTGATAACTTAGAAAATACTTCTGAATTTGTAGTTACACAAAATTGTATTATATTATTAGCAATAACTATTACTGCATTGGTGAAAATTCAGAGTACTGGGGAGTAGATTTCATACAGTTAGAGGCCAGTTAACAGAATAAGGTATAACTGTACAGATGTGGAGTTTGAAAAAGATTGGTGAGACTATTCATTGAAACAGAGTGGCCTCTTTTTAGGACTTTTAAAAGATAGACTGATGTTCCCCTAATTTCTATTAAAGTATTTCCCTATAATTTAGCTTTCCTGAATCCATTCATATAAAATTAATTTCATTAACCAAGCATTCTGTTAAGCAGCACTTTCACACTTCACGAGTACAACAAAAATTGATTTCATTATAATGACTCCATGTCAGCACGAGATTCTGAAATGGCTCCTGAATGAAAAGTGGCTGACTCATGTTCATTATAATTTTATAATTTTAGTAATGGATACTTTTTATTTTACGGGTTAGTCCTCAAAGGAGTGACTTAAAATTAAAAGTTCTGTCGTTATTTTCTAGTTGACACATAAAAAAGATCAATCGAGTTGCTGAAGATGACGCTCTGTGTCACAGCAACTTTAATTTCCCCAGAAGATGTACCAGGGACCTTGTGGTTTCTCATGAGGGCCCCATCTGCTCCTCGTAAACCCAGGGAGGGCTGCCAGCCCTCGCAGATCCAGATTCTCAGCTCCATTCCCTTGCAGGTTGACTCCAGCAAGCTCTCCTGCTTTCAGGGTCTCTTCTCCTCTCTCTCCAATTCTCACCAGGAGTGGGAAGTTGCCTTAGAAAAAGTGACACCATTTAGTAAATATGTAGTCTCCCAAGGTGACCACCTGCCATGAATGAAGAGGTCTTTCCCCAAGCCCAGCCCAGATTCTTTTATATGAAACCACTTCCTAGAGAATGCTCAGTGCTCCCAACTGAACAGTGAGAATCTGGTTCTACAGTTTTAGATTGTTCCAGCTGATCTGAGAATCCAAGGCCACCTAAGGTGAGTCCCTCCCTTAGAATCATGCTGGAGAGAGCGTACTTCCCATCCTGAACCTCTTCTGCCCTGGAGCTGACGGAGCCGGAGACTAGCTGGGTACCAGTGAGGCTGCACGTGCTGGTGACTTCCGCTCTCCTTCCCCGGCTTCACACTTCCTGGAGTGGAAAGAGTTTGCTTAATTATAGGAAGTAGCCAGGCACGGCATTTATAAAAAAATGGACATCAACTGAAACCAACCAAAATTGAGTTTAAAACAGATATTTTTTTGAAAAAGGAAAATATTAATGTGACCGTGAATTATATATATTTTCACTCTTAAGTTACTTACTTTAGGGGAGTTGAAAATTTCAAGCCATAATCCCTTTCACTCTCATTTTCTAAGCAAGTACACATTTTGCCCATAGTCAAAACAAAAAGTCTCGACTACTTCTGTTATAGCTGCTCTCCCTGTATAGCAGAAGGTGGAAATTCAGACTAGTTCTGTTTGTTCTACATCATCTTCACTAAACTGTTGGAAAGCGCCCTGCAGCAAATATAACATGTGCATATATTAGCATATATTCATAGACACATACCTGGGCAGAAGACGTGGGGCTTTGTGGAGACCATGCAATCTAGAAGACACTGGTCCCTTTCTTAGCTAGGGAAGACTTCTGGTTGGGTAGACGTAGGCAATCTTTTTATATGAGAACATATCTAGAGTACACATAAGTGAGCTTTACTAAATCTCAGCTGGCAAATTACAGAACTTCTATAAAAATGTCAGAATAGAATAGGCAAAAGAAGCTGATTTTTCTGGTGCCAAATTCTTGTTAGAAAATGTTAATGAAACTCCCTCTGTTCTTTTGGTTCTTAGGGGAAAATAAGCTGGTAGGGGACCTTCTGGTCTTAGGAGGAGCCACACTCTACGGTATCTCTAACGTCTGGGAAGAATACATCATCCGAACCCTGAGCCGAGTGGAATTCCTGGGAATGATTGGACTCTTTGGGGCATTTTTCAGTGGAATTCAATTGTGAGTAAAAATAGCAAGAAATTCAGACAGTAGACACTCATTAGGACTTGTCCTTACAATTTTTTCATTGGGGTATAGTTAGTCATTTTATTTTATAAAAATCAAGGCTAGAAACCTTTCACCCCCTTTCCACATGAATTCTGAAAACTCAATATCTTTATTGGTAAATTTCTTCCAAACTAAACAAGTTTATTATAAATTATTAGAAAAACATTTAATGGACTTTGAAGATAATTTACGAGAAAGCATTAGAAGTACGCTGATTCTCCCAAACCAGCCAGTGAAGTTTTACTTAGGGAAATAGAAAAACTAAGTGTAAATGCCACGATTTCATGCACTTCTAAAAAGGAACATTCTGTTTACCAGTGACAACCACCACTAAAAAATTTATAGTTTAAATTTGCCCTTTTATAAATTTGTTCTTTTCTTGCCCATGCATTTGCATGAATCAACCATATTTCAAATTCATCTCTTAGAAATTTAGGGTTTCCATTTTCCTTAAACAGGTGAAGATATAATACAGACATTCCCTGAGCATCAAAAAGTCAAAAACACCAATTTCGCAATAATTCTGGTGTTGGAGCATATGAGTCATCACTGACTAGTGCCTCAGAAATTGTTGTGAGAACAAGCGTCAAACAAAGCATAATTTTCCATCAATAATGACCAAATATTTTAGTTTCACGTAAGAGATAAAGAATGATAGAGTAAACTCCAGTGTAATTTCACCAAATCCCGTTCTACAAAGCAAGTAATTCTGATTTCACCAGATCACTTTCTACAAAGCAAGTACTTTGTAATTGTATTGGTTCAGTGTCTGAAATTATTTATGGAAGATATTTTGACATCACCTTAAACATGTTTTACAAATAGGCTGTTTCCAAGAATCTTCGAAATTTCGGTGTCCTGAGATAACAGATGAAAAGCTCCATAGCAAACGAGGCATGGAGATGGGAAGACTTTCAAGAAGGATTTATTTGGGGTCCTTTTTGAAAGCATGATGGCATTTTAAAGCCCCTAAATTTGGTGCTTCAGCTTTGTGAAAGGAAAAGAAATTGCCTAGTTCAACTATTCATAACCAACAGTTTGTAGATGGATGGCTCATTTTATGGATTATTATTCTTGAATCCAAAAAATATATACAGAGATCTAGTGCTCATTTGCTTCGGTTATAGTCCATTAGAGCTGACTGAGCTCTTCAGGGAGACTGCTGCCAAAATAATAGAAGTGACATATGGGTGTGTTTGGTAAATGGGATACACTGAGGGCACACTGAAACCAAGTAACACTGGTGGAGTGGTGCCAACCTCACCTCCCGGGCCTCTTTTAGAGCAGTGGTTCTCAAAGTGTGGTTCTCTGACCAGCAGCACTGGCACCACATGAGAACTTGTCAGAAATACACATCCGTGGGCCCCTCCCAGATCTGCTGAATCAGAATCTCAGGAATGGGGCCCAGGAGACTGTTTTAACAGGCTCTCCAGATGGCTCTTATGTCCATTTAAGTTTGAGAACCACTGCCCTCAAGAACGCTCAATCAGAAAATGATTAAACTTGCAAGGACAGAAATTTTCTGAATCTTGCTGTTTACGTTTTAGAAAGTACCTAAGGCACAAAGGCTACAAGCAGACTATGTGGGTGAGGACAGTGGGAGGTTTGAGCTCTACCATGCCCACTGGCACTCTCACCAATGCTGGCTACACCTCACAAGATCCTTCAGGGATAAACCTCAGGCTGCCTGGTTAGACTTACCTCTGCATGGCCCAAAGTTATTTTTGAAATTCAGTTGGTTGCTTCATGATTTGTACAAATCTGGTAAGTGAAAACAGAAAAAGAGGAACTGGGATGCATTATAACCTTGCTCATCAGGTCCACTTTCTTTGAATTTGCAGAGCCATAATGGAGCACAAGGAGCTGTTAAAGGTGCCCTGGGATTGGCAAATAGGTAAGGGGTTTGCCCACCTAAGAAGTTGTTTTCAGTAAACCTGAGAAATATGTTTGAAGAGTGATGTGGGTGGAGGTGGGGCATGAGCAATGAAAGGATTTAAAAGGCAGAGGACAAAAGAAAATGAAATCCCCTTGTCATTTTAGGAATTCTTGCACACTATAAGACACTGAACTGTATGATTCATAATGTTTCCTAATCGAGCTTCTGCCCATTATCGTCGTCAAGATGCTGTTAGTGTAGACACAGAAGTATGCTTTTAGATTAAAGACCAACCAGAGAGAAAAACTGCCCTGAGGCAGTGGTGGGACATAAATGACAGCAATTTGCTCTAGCCAAGAAACACAAAACTGATGTGGTCATTAGAAAGTGGCACTTCAGTAAGGGGAAAAAACCGAACTTAACAAAAAGGCACGAAAGAAAACAATATAATGGGCTTTCTGAGCCCATAAAAACCTTTTCAGAAGGGAGCAGTTTGCACGTAAGAAATGGTTAATTGACCCTCAGATGGACTTGGTAGAAAATACCGGACATGCTTTGAGCTAGTGAATAGTCGTCCAGGGCATCTCGGATTCCACCTGTTTCAAAAAATCACTTTTCTCTCAAAAAATTGAGGACAAGGATTTAAGATCCTAGGTGATGCTCTAGGATCGCATAGAAAGCCCTAGAAGGGACTGACATCAGCCCAGAAGATATCCTTCAGTGTCTGTACCAAGACACGTGGGTTCCAGCAAAGAGCACAGAGCTTGGCTTATGGGGGTGCTTGGAAAATGTGTGCACAGTGGTGCAAATGGGGGGTGAAAATACAGATGGTTCCCCATGCTGAAGCTGGCTACTTGAACCATCTCCAGCTTATGTGAGCTTTGACGGAATTGACAGCTTCAGTCAAATTCTGCTTCCACGAGCAATGACAACAATGACATAACTTCCCTGCACCCTTTACCTACCCCATACCCCAAAGTATCCAAAGCCGACTTGCTGCTGACATATTCCCTCTGAAGGCACACTGTGAGCTACAGAATCATGCATAACTCTCCCTGGGCGGTATCCCTAGTGGCTTCAAGCACTACCCAGGGCTGCAACTGAGAAAGGAACCCAGCTGCAGGTTACAGATACATTTGCCCCTTTGATTCCCAGAGCTAGGAACTAAAATGTTACCCCTGCTTGGTAACACCTGACATGCAGTGGTCCGTGAGCATAAATTAATATTATATTAATGGTAATAGCAATAATAAAAAATAATTTGTCCTTTAATTATGTGGATGTCATGTGCATGTCCATCGAGATTCTGTTATAATTCCATGTTAGTTAAATGTGTCATCAAAAGGTAGTTTTGGGGCCAGCCCGGTGGCATAGCGGTTAAGTTTGCGCGCTCTGCTTTGGTGGCCCAGGGTTCGCAGGTTCAGATCCCAGGCCCGGACCTACACACCACTTGTCAAGCCATGCTGTGGCAGTGTCCCATATACAGTAGAGGAAGATGGGCACAGATGTTAGCCCAGGGTCAATCTTCCTCAGCAAAAAGAGGAGGATTGGCAACAGATGTTAGCTCAGGGCTAATCTTCCTCACAAAAAAAAGAAAAAAAGGTAGTTTTATTCTGAGCCTTCATATTGCCATTAAAATGTCAATCCCCTGTACTCTGAGATGATGAAGGAAGGGTAGTGTAAAAGGAACACATTATAGAGCTATCCGTTTCATTCCTGATTGGAATTGAGGCCAAAATGGCCTAGAAAGGGAACCAAATGTTCATCATTTTCTTTCGGAAGCATTGATAGGGTTGTGTTTGAGATTTTTTTACACCAGGACCACCTTTGTCCTCATTACCTCATCCTGACCTCCGGCACGGTTCTATTATTTAGCTCAGTTCTAGGCACATACAATTCAAGGAAAAAATGTTTATTAAATGGAGAATGAATGACAAGCAAAGGGGGTGAGACCTGTCCTGCCCTCTCTCATCTCACAAAATATAGACGAAAGGCAAGCAGTGGAGGCAATGGCAGGAGACTTTAGGCTTGACACTGCACTTTCTTTCTGGGGAACCAAGAGATGGCATACCAGCCACTGCAGCTCGTGGACCAGTGAGGTGGAGAGACATCAAGGGGGATCAGCATCCTCTCAAAGCATCCTCAGTCCTTGGGAAGTCTGCCAAGAGTGCTGAGCTCTGATCACTGTGTCTTGGTGGGGAGCTCACAGCATCTTAGTTAAGAGACCAGAATCCAAGACTTGTCTTCATCTCCCACCATCTGTCAGTGCATTTCTCTCCCTTCCCTCTCTCCACATCAGGAATCCCCCTCATACAGTCTCTTGAATGATTCATATGGGTTGCCATTTTATCAAAGTAAAAAGATCTTTTTTCCTATGGAGTAAGTGGGATAATAAATGTATTTTATATTTTCTGGACTAGGAAGCCTTTTTTTTTTTTTTTTTTAGCAGATAGTTATTTTCTTATAACACTGGCCAATTGCGAGATACAGAGTAATTAAAAGCAAGAAGATAACAGTTGTTTGATTTTATTTCTCTGTTTTACTTTACTGAACAGAAAGATTGGGTCTGGTTATGTGGTCATTAAACTCAAGTAAAACATACGACCTAACGGAGATAAAATGTCCTCCTGGGGAGCAGGCTTGTTGGAGTCACAGTCAAAAATCTGATGCATGACTTAAACATTCCCTTCCTCTCATTTGTCATATTGTGTGAAAGGATATGTGAGCAAGTGTCAGCTGATGTGCAAGTCGAGTGTGGGAGGAAGGACGAGGTGTGCTGCAGAGCAGTATCTCAGGTGTGTGGTGTGCGGAGCTGCTTCATTCTTCCTTTTGTAGGTGATGCTGGTTTGGGTTTTGGTTTTTTCCTGGAGCCAAAACAAGAGATTTGATCATTCCCTGAAGGTGGAATAATGGGACCACAGAGCAGGAAGGCCCTTAAAGATAATTAAGAATACACTCTTTCTTTTTACTGATGTACTAATCGAAGGCCTGGGGAGTTGAGGCGACTTGACTAGGCTCACAGCTGCCTGTGGTGGGACTAACATGCACTATCTGAGCAGGCCCCGCCAGCCCGGTGCCCTTTGCAGACCTACCATCATGCATATATTCTGAGAAACCATCTTACCTAATCTTTATTTTTAAGAATTAAAAATAAGGTTTAAGAAATGTAGTACAGTCATGTGTTGCTTAACAACAGGGATACTTTCTGAGAAATGCGTCATTAGGCAATTTCGTCATTGTACGAACATCATAGAGTGTACTTACACAAACCTAGGTGGTAATAGCCTACTACACACCTAGGCTATATGGTACTAATCTTATGGGACCACCATAATTGACCAAAACGTCGTTATGGAGCACATGACTATTTATTCAAAGGAAAATGAAAGACAGAACATCAGTGAGGTCCCAAAGAAAGTGATGAGATAAAATATATGCAGCATACACAGACACATACTATATATGTGTATATATTATATCTATCATGTATAAACATAGATACCACATATCATATATCGTGGATTTGTTGTTAGTGCCGTGGAGTCGATTCCAACTCCTAGCGACCCTGTGTACAGCAGAGCGGAACCCTGCCTGGTGTTTTTGCACCATCCTCTCATCTTTGGCGCTATATCAGACAATGCTCAGCTGCTCTTCATAGGATTTTCACAGCCAATTTTTTCGGAAGTGGGTGGCCAGGTCCTTCTTCCTAGTCTGTCTTAGTCTTGAAGCTCTGCCGAAACCTGTCCAACATGGGTGACCCTGCTGCTATTTGAAAAGTGGTGGCATAGCTTTCAGCATCACAGCAACATGCAGCTGCCACAGTAGGACAACTGACAGATGGGTGGTGTGGTTCCCTGACCGAGAAACAAATTCAGGCCACGGCAGTAAGAGCGCCCAATCTTAACCACTAGACCACCAGGGCTGGCTGTATCGTGTACATGTTCTGTATGTATCATGTATAAAATGAGATGCTCATCAGAGTCAAATAGAATGCTCCTACTTCTCTTCATAATAATTAAACAATATAGATTAGTAGTATATGCTCAGAATTTAAAGTCAGACATCCTATGTGACCTGAGGGCAAGTTACTCAACCTCTGTGCGCTGGTCTTTTGCCTGTTTACACACAGATCTGTTTCTTCCCCTTACTCTGCTCTACATTGCAGAGGCTAACTCATGCAAACCACACTTCCCAGGCTGCCTTGTACGCTGGCTTCCAGCTAGGTTTGGCCAATGGGAGGCAGTAGAGAGAGATTGGAAGGTAGGAGGTAAAAAGAAACCAGGTCTCCCTGTTTCTCTCCGTTTGGAGTCAGGTCTCTCGAAATGGCTGAGTTTCCTCCGTGCTTCTACCCCTGCTGAGCTTCCCTAACTTCTCACCCCTGGTAACACGGCCTCCTCCCTGGATCTCTCTAGCTCCGGGGCTGCAGTAACTTAGTGCTGCTGCTGATCTCTGGGTTGCTTCACCATCCCTGTTTCTGCATCACCCATTCAAGTACCTTTGTAACTTGTGCCCCATATTAAATTTCTTCTGTTGAACCTGGTATGGACTGTGTTTCTTGACTAATACACTCTATAAGCCTATTTCCTTCCCTGTATATAAAGAGAACAGCAATAGTAATGGTGTTATACTGTTGTGGAGACTAATTCATTAATGTATACACAGTACATGACACATGGCAAGCTCTCAGTCAGTATTAGCTGATAGTATTCTTTCCAATCTCTTTAGCTTAAATCTCTATAGTGCACAAGGACAGGAGTGACTGAATCCTGTCTTCAGTGAGAGAGAAAATGTATCAAATAAGAGACAGTTATATACATAATCTGCCTATAAATGTAGTTATTGCATTATGTAGTTGTCAGTCAAAAAATCATTGAGTCCATTTGTTTGATCACGTTGATCGATTGTTTGAAAACTCTCCATGTACAGCACGTTGGGCCTTCAGATGCGTTGCTAAAGTCTGTTAACTAGCTAATGTCCATCTAAGATCAGCACATTGCAGCAGTACTGCATTCCCACTCTTAGTTTAATCATGTGTTCATTTGGCTGGCTACGCTTTGCTCACAAAACAGGATATTCACACACAAAAACATTGGTGGGCCTAGCAAAGTGATTAACTGTGGTGATGTATATATTCCACCCCTGTCCCCCTAAATTTAATTTCTGCAGTTTTAAAAAATATGTTTAGAATGTTTAAGCTTGAAGCATCCTGAGGTAGCCTGATGAGTATAGTGAAGCTCTGCTGTGTATCTATTTTTCTAGTCTCCTTGGCTCACCAATTGTGCCTGTAAAGTCACACCTCTTCTCGGAGCCAGCCAATTATATATCCAGCTCTCTACTGGATGTATCCTCTTGGATGGCGCATAAGCCTCTAAAACTTAACACATTTAAAATGGAGCTTTTAATTTCCCCTGAAAACCTGGTCCTCCCTCAGTTCTCTGTCTCAGTGAATGGTGTCATAATTCACTCAGTTTCTAAATTAGCCAGAACCCATGGGTATCCTTGATGCCCTCCTTTCCCTCACTACCTGCATCCAGTATATCACCAGGGTTTGTTGAGTCTTCACGGACCTGGCCACATCCGTTAGTCTCCACTGCCTTTCAGAGCAAAGCCACCAGCATCTCTTGCCTGGACTATGACACTACGCTTCTCATTGGTCTTCTCCCATGCTTTTCTCCTTCCAATCCCTTCTCCACAGAGTAGCCAAAGTTTTCTTTTAAAAATATAGATCTTGGGGCTGGTCCCATGGCCTAGTGGTTAAGTTTGGCATGCTCCGCTTTGGTGGCCCAGGTTCGGTTCCCGGGTGTGGACCTACACCACTCGTCAGCGGCCATGGTGTGGTGGTGACTCACATACAAAATAGAGGAGGATTGGCACAGATGTTAGCTCAAGGCGAATCTTCCTCAACAACAAAAAAAGGATATATATATATAGATCAGATGTTAGCCATATGCTACAAGTTCCTCAGTGGCTTCCTATTATAACTGGAATAAGATATCAGCATAATTCATCTCCTGCCTAATTTTCCAACCTCATCTCTTGTTGCCACCTCATTCTGTTCATTCTGCTCAGATGTCCTGGCTTCTAGAAGCTCCTGGAATACATCAGGCCCTGTCCCTCCTCAGGGTCTTTTCATTTGCAGATCTCTCTGCCTAAAATATTCTTCCCCTGGCTCCTTCTGACAATCTCCTTTTAGTCCTTCAGCTGTCAGGGTAAGTGCCACCTCCACAGAGAAGCCTCACCCAGTCACCCTTCCTAAAGCAAGCCACCTGCCTTTCTCTGTAAGGAACCCTTTTATTCCTTCATTGCACTAAAACCAACTCTAAGCTTCTTGTCTGTCCTGTTTTTCCACCGCATTGCTAGCCCATGGCAGACTGCCTAGGGCATCATTGGTATTCAGTGAATAAGTGGTTGAATAATTGAGTGAGTGTAAAACATCAGAGCCCACAAGTGAGAGACCACGGTGTGCTAGGTAAAGTGATGGAAGGTAGGATTCTGGAACTTTACAGCCCGGTGATGTATAATTTAAATCACTGATGCCCTCAAAAAAAGGCTCTGGTACCTGGACTGTGTTCTGATTAAATTTGGTTATTTTTAGTGGATTAATTTAAGGATATGTCTTGTCTTGCGTCCGTTAATCTCAGATTCCTTAAAGGAATACTGAATTAACTTTTTTGTCTTTTCATGTTTTAATTTTAGGTTATTTAGTATTGCATTTTTTATAACTTGGTTAAAAGGAAAATGAATTATAAGTAGCATGAAACCCAAGAACAGGAATATTGACCATTTTTAGAGAATTAAAACTTCTGATGGAGATTCAAAGCCATCTGACATTACTGTGACAGAGTATCCACGAGAGGACTTGTACTTTACCAAACTAGGAAAGTGGTTATTCCGTTTTCCTCTTAGGGCACTTCCACCACACTAGAGGGGGCTGTTGTACTGAGTTTGCTTACTTAATGTTCAAAATAATTTTTTATATAGACTTGATGTGGCTTTCCTTAAACTCAGGATCAGAAATTTATAGAATGATGATTTATGCCCTTGAATACTTTTCATATGGGAAAACCAAACTTCTCTTTGGCGGACTCACTGCTCTTCATAGTCAAAGGGACTGGATGTCCAGTACCCACCAAATCCTCCCAAATTCACAGAATTCAGAGGAAGCAGTCTGTCCACGGCCCACACCAGACAGCTTTAATCAAGAATTCCTTTGGAAAGATTGGTTACTTTTGTTATATTATAAAGCCCAAAGATCCATTGAGGTGTATTACTTGTGCTTACTCTATACCTTATTCTTTCAAGGTAGAGAAACAAACATTATTTTTCTACATTGTGTTGTATCAATATCTAGGAAAAGATGAACCAAACTCTAGATTCAGCCATAAACTCTTGCTTGGGACCCAACAAAATGGTGTATTTGTGGAATTAGTACTAACAATTGTGTGTTTAGTTATAATTAGAGAGAGAGTGAGAATTTTAGAGGATGAGAGACTGACCATATAGCATTTTAAGGGCACTTTTTTTTTTATCTTTCTGTTTTGCAAAACTTCATTCTTTGATGGTCTACAAAGCATTTACCTAACTATTTATTTATAAAACAGCAGAGCCTACATGTAAGAGCCCACAGTATGCTGGGAAAGACAATGGAGGAGTAGGACTCTGTTAAGGGTAGGGCTGAGCAGGATTCACAAATTTGGAAGAAATTGACAGATCATCTTGTGCTCAGAGCAATGCAGTGGTCTGCCCAAGGTCACATAGTTAGGATCCCAGTTCTGATCTAGTCCACATCTCTTCGACATGTAAGCCCTTCCATTTTAAGGACAATGTAGTTATTCACCATCATTGTGAACAATACATGGTACCAAGCAGTTTTGTTCCTATTTTGCAAATAAGAAAGATATGAAAAAAGTCTTAAAAGACATAGATATTAGAAGTTAATTACAGCACAATTGGAAATAGAATTCAGAAGCCTTGATCCTGTGTTCTGATTGTAGCCACTAAGAGGCACTCCTTCCCAAATGAAGCAAAATAGCAGATACGTAGTGAGAAACGGAAAGTTCATTTTCCACGTGCGAATTTTTTATTATTATTTTATGTTTTAGCTATGTATTACCTGATAATAAACATCAGTTAAGAGAGTGAAAGAAAAACTCCCTCTGTGAGTGATACACGGTGTGCACCATTCCCCTTCTTTCACCTGCTGTGGGTACCAGAGGCCCTGGAAGAGGCTGTGACGTCGCCTCTCTCTCCTCTCCCCCCAGGGCTGCTCTACGTTGGCTTTAGTGCCTGCATGTTTGGTCTCTACAGCTTCATGCCAGTCGTCATCAAGAAAACCAGCGCCACTTCGGTCAACCTCTCCCTGCTCACAGCAGATTTGTACAGCCTGTTCTGTGGATTGTTTCTTTTCCACTACAAGGTAAGTTGAGTCAGTGCTCCTTTGTGAAGCTGTACTTGGTAGGGACAAATGCATACAGGTATGAATGCCCTGCTGTGGAATGCCCCAGTTTTGTGTAGGGAAGTAGGAATGCACCTCTGTGTGCTAACCCCCAGGCTCTGGGTATTCACATTTCAACTGCAAGACATAGGCAACATTCTGTCCTAAGAGACCAGTAACTACAGACATTTGATGGTGAAAGATAAATAGCCATCGAGGAAAGAGCTTTTGATAATGCGGGACAGATTTTCTGACATCATTCAGCCCAGAAGCTACTCATGGTCCGGCCTAAAGCTAGGAAGATTTGTACAATTCCCCAATATGACTGCAAAACAGACTCTGCCAAAGGCTCTGGCAGAGTCTGCTCTTGTTGGAGAAAAGACACAGTCCCCGCAGTTGCTGCTTTGCAGAATTTTCATAGCAAATATGAATGGGAAATGCTAATGCATTAGAAATAGTTTCTTTACTAAAGGATTGGGGTTTGAGTAAAGGAATGCAAAGAGATTGTGAAGCATTTGCAGTTAATGGGTTAGCCCTGAAGAGGAAACTCTCCAGTCCAAAGATGGCAGTCTCTTTGAATGCAAGGCTCCACCCACATCCTAACTCAAGGGAGGCGTGACTAATTGGTTCTGGCACACTGAGGTCAGATGCTGTTTTTTAAACACTACACTCACTGCAGCCATTAATAATTGATTAGAATTGGTATGTGAGGAGAGACTGCTTGCCATTCCTTAACTAGTCCAATAAGATAAGAGTCAGTGGGACTCTGACCAGTGTGAAAAAGGACAGTATATGGAATATCCACACAGATAAGACCGAACTGGGATAGACAAAAGAAGAGGAGGCAGAAGAAAAGAGAGGCTGCTCTAGCAGTGTCTAGCCAAGTGCTTCACCAGTGGTGTTACAGTTAACATCACCATCACTCGGGTGTGGCCAGCTGATGGGGCATCTTGGTGGGCAGAGCATCTCCAACCAGGTCAAACTTGGCTTGAAGATTCCCAGAGAAAAGCTGAGCTGGAAAGAGTATGTACTTGAGAGGAACAGAGGCAAAGCAGCTGAAGTGAATAATCAGACATATTACTGAGAGAAGCCAAAGTCATAGCCAAGAAACAGATTGAGAAGGGCAGACAGAATGGAAAAGAGGTCACAGACAAGGTTAGCATCTGGGAGGACCAGGTCTGGAAGATGAGAGAAAGTGGCCATGCACATGTGTGTGGTGATGGGTTGTAATTAGTATTTGGGTGGTGAACGTGATGTAATCTATGCAGAAAGAGAAGTATAATGATGTACACCGGAAATTTATACAATGTTATAAACCAATGTTACCCCCATTAAAAAAAAAGAAAAAAAAAAGAAAAAAAAAGAAAAAAGAAAAAAAAAAAATAGAAAAGGTAAGTGGCCATGGCAGCAGACAGGGATAAAGTGCTGAGTTCCTATTTTATATGGAGCCTTGGGCCCAGTTTGGTGGCAAAATGACAGCTTAAAGAAATTGTCTAGGACTGGACAATGTTTATACACTGTTTGTAATTTTTTTTGTCTGGATGGTGCAATCTCTGTTTCCTGGGCACACTCCTGGTCCTCATAAGGGTAAAAAGTAAAGTCACAGCATGTTCTTCTCATTGCTCACAGCCACAGTGTTGGGAGGACCAGCTTCCCTCAGAATCCCCCTCCAAACACATCCACTTATTTTCCAGAGCCTTGGGGACCACATAGCCATGGTCTCATCAGTACCTCACAGTGACCACCATTTTTCTTCTCTCTTCTGCAGCTAAGCATCCATATCTAGTTCCTTCCTCAGCGTGAGTTCAGTTCTCAGCAGTTATTCCTGTAATTGTCTTTATAAGCTCCCGAACCCCTTTAATCCCTTTAATCTTCCTTAAGGAAAGATGACTGAAACTTGTTGTTTTGATCCAAGACCACGGTCACTTCTTGAGCGGTCCAGATCTAGTCTAGCTCTCAGCATCCCTAATAGCAGTGTTCCTGATAGTCCACTTTCACCAGGGGTACTTGATAAAAATGTGGATTCTTAGGCCACACCCCTGAGCCACAGAAGCAGTATCAGAGGGTGTGACTGGGGGAGTCTGCATTATTAACGAGCTCCTCTGTGAGGCTGATGTTCTCTGAATTTGAGAACAAATACCTGAGAGGGGTACCTGATCAGTGCTCATTCCTATTTGAGTCTGCCACTCATACTTCCACTGACTCTTATTTAGACCTGGGGCTCTCCACATTAACAAGCATCAGGAACTAAGAAGGCTGATGAACCAGATAAATTCGAATTCTCCGCAATCCATCTACCCTCCCATCATTTGTATGTTACTACTTACTTAGGATAAGTAACTTTGCCAAAGAGGAAACCACGTAGTAACTTTTCATCATGCCATCAGAAGTGAAGATGTGTTACCTGAAAATTAAATTCCTGTATTCACCAATTTGGAGGTGTAATGATTTTTATTTCTTAAAGCAATGTTTTTCACTATACAGATATATTTTGTTACTATTTAACGGATAAATTTCCTTAAGGCAATGATTGGCTTAACACAATAGGTGTTTTCTCTAGTTAAAATTGATTCCTTTTGTCTTTTTTTAAATTAAACTTTTGAGATAATTGTAGATTCACATGCAATTTTAAGAAATAATACAGAGAGATCCCACTTACCCTTTATCTAGTTTCTCCCATTGATAACATCTTGCAAAACTATAATACAATATCAGGATATTAACATGGATACACTCAACATACAGAGCATTTCCATCCCCACAAGGGCTGCTTGTGTTGCCTTTTATAGTCACACCTACTTGTCTCTCACCTACCCGCTTAACCCCTAGAAACCACTAATTTGTTTTCCATTTCTCTAAATTTGTCACTTCAAGAATGGTGTGTAAACGGAATTACGCAGTAAGTAACCTTTTGGGATTGACTTTTTTCACTCAGCATAATTCTCTGAGGATTCATCCAGATCATTTTGTATATCAGTAGCTCGTTCTTTTTTATTGCTGAGCACTATTCCGTGGTATGGATGTATCATAGTTTATTTAACTATTCGCTCAGTGAAGGACATCTGAGTTGTTTCTGTTTTTGTCTGTTATAAATAAAACTGCTATGAACATTCATGTAAAGGTTTTTGTGTGAACAGAGTTTTGGCATATTTGGTTTTATAAGAATGCCAAACTGTTTTCCAAGGTGGTCTGTTGCCTTTTATTACAAAGAAGTACATATTCATTGTGAGAAAGTCAGAAAATACAGATAAGTACTGTTATACATTGACACCATTTTATACTGCATATATATTTTTACATTTTACATACTGTTTTGTTACATGCTTTATTTAAATGCAAAATGTATATATTTCCATGTCATTTAATATCTATGTATAATATGAGTCTGAACGAGTGGTTCTCAACTCTGGCTATGCATTACAATCACCTGGAGAGAATATAAAACAGCCATGCCCAGGTCCCACCCCAGAGAATCTGATCCTGATTAGTTGGGAGTGGGGCCTCTTAAAAGCTCTTCAGCTGATTCATCATGTATCCTAATACACAGTCAGAGCTGAGAATCACTAATCTACAAAATAATTTTAATGGCTATATAGTATTTCGTGAAATGGTTATACTTTAATTTATTTAACACAGGGTTTCTCAACTATGGCACTGTTGACATTTTAGACCAGATGATTCTTTGTGGGGGAGAGGAGGCCTGTTCTGTGCATTATAGGATGTTTGGTAGCGTCTCTGACATCGACCTACTCAATGCCAATAGCATCCCCCCAGTAGTGACAATCAAAAATGTCTCCACACATTGCTCAATATTGAGAACCACTGATTTAATGATCCCTAATTATTGGATTCAAATAGTGTCTCTTTTTGGCTAATATAAAAAATTTGGGGAATTAGCTTGTACTAAATCTTTGATCACATTCAATGTTACAAAGTTTTTTAAAGAATAATTTTTAAATAAATCTCATAATTGGTTTATTTCATTTCTATTTTGAAACAAAAGTCTTTAAAAGAATTTGAGCGTCCTATTGACCAACCAGTATCCCTGCACACAGGCAGTATTTGCAAATCCGTTAATATTATGGCAGTCAATATTAGGACATAGACAAATGCTCTATTTCTCCTTTCTCCTCACTCTCATTGTATTTCCAGTTGATGCCACACCACTTTAGTTCTTGAATAAACACTGCCTTGTATTGTTCTCTAATTCTTTTATGAACCATAGTATTTAATATCTGCAAAGAAATAAGCTAAATACTCAATTTAAGTCTAAAAAAACTTTTATTTGCCTTAAATAATTTCTAAAAGAGTCTTCCAAGCGATGCTTGAATTCGCAAATAGCCATTATTTGGAAAATCCAGGGTTTTTTTCCCCCAGAGCCCAGCTTGCCTACTTCTGAAATTGGCCTTGGGCTTGCCAAATGGGAGGGTCCCCAGAGCCAGAGAGAACAACAGTCTGAGTGGCCTGCAGGTTTTCCACCACAGCCAGATGGGCCATCTCAGAAAATTTATTTTTAAAGAACAGTTATTGGAGGTACTTTTATCAAGCAATTTATGGTTAATGCAAAAATCTTGGCAAATGCAGCAAAATTAAAAAATGGTGGTGGGATGTCACATGGTGGGTGTGTGTATGTGTGTGTGTATTTGGGGGAGTGGGAGAAGAAGGTGATTATATGTTTATGTCTTTCCTCTGGAGAAATGTCTATTTAATTCCTTTGCTCATTTTTTAATTGGGTTGTCTTTTTATTATTGAGTTGTAATGGTTCTTTATATATTCTGGATACTAGATCCTTATCAGGTATGTGATTTACAAATATTTTCTCCCACTTTGTAGTTGTCTTTTCATTTTCTTTTCTTTTTTTTCTTTTTTGCTGAGGAAGATTCACCCTGAGCTATCATCTGCTGCCAATCTTCCTCTTTTTGCTTGAAGAAAATTCGCCCTGAGCTAACATCTGTGCCAATCATCCTCTATTTTGTGTGTGG